AGCTGCATTCTCTGATCAAGATGTCCTGTTAGACACTGAAATATTAAAGTGGTGATAACTCTGAAACTATATAGCTGCTGTTTGAAGCAACTATTATTGTTACTCTTACTTGGAAATATTGCATGCAGGTACAACTGTACCTTTGATTTTCACTTTCGCTTTCATTTCCATTTTGACAAGCCTTTAGCCACCATCACCATCACCTACCTACACTTCTTGCCCTAACTGTTTACTGTCAGCTACATATACGAGCTTTACCAGTGACTTGTTTTTTTCTTAACGGTGGGTAAGGTTGTATCTTATTCATTTTTTATTCATTTATCTTAGTAACTCACATTATATACTCGCTTATTGCTCTCATTGCTATGGGCATTTGCTCTTCTTTAATATTGGTATTTTTAAAACTTTTTGATGTGCATTTACCATTGGCATACCTTTTAACTCACACTTGCATACTATCTGCTGAATGAACAATTAAGTTAAATGCCAGCCTTACATCTGGATATATCACTCTTGGTTGATGTAATATAAGATCCATGTAAACTGATTAAAATACAGCAAACCAATTGAATTAGGAAAAAATGGTTAAGTGTTAAAATTGACAAATGCAAATCTACAAGTACCTATTATTAACTCAAGAAGGTAAAGACTATAATTTTTACAGGGTAACCATGGAGAAGATGTGAAAGAATGCTATTATTACTTAGATTCCACCCCTACTCACTCGTACATGAAAATGTTGTACAAATATCCTCAGTCTGAGTATCCATATTCACTGCTGGTAGAGGAGAACAGAAAAAGAGGGCTGAGTGACCCAGAGTATGAGCTTGAAGACACAGGTAAGACAAAGTAAAGAACTTTAAGCCTACTGGACATTCCAGCCACCAGGGTCTATATAGGTGATCTGTTGTCCTAAAGAAAAAAAAGGGCCCAAATTTAAATGGATAAAATTTATAGATGTGACATTGGGACCAGCAGGTGAATGCAGTTTGGCATCTTTATAGTGGATGTAAAAAAGGGATCCACAGATTAATTTAATATCTTTAAGATAAAAGAGATGCTGTTTTATTTTAGAACATCACCAGGAAGTAATATTGCAGTGCCTCTACATCTTTTTCATTTACTTTATTGGCTATTATAGATACTCTCAGTGAAAATAACTACTGGCACATTACAAGAGAGTATACTCTAAGCATGCCTTCCCCCACATATTTTGATAATAATTATAATCAATTAGAGTTCTCTTAAATCAAATTCCATTTTCAAGGCTCATGGCTTCATTTTAGTTTATCATGATATCAATATATATGCCCTATGATAATTTTGGTTATCGTAGGTGTATTTGATGAGAACAGATACTGGGATGTGACTGCAGAGTATGCTAAGAATACCCCCAATGATGTGCTGTGCAGGTACACAGTAGCCAACAGAGGGCCTGAGGAGGCCACACTGCATGTGATCCCAGTGCTGTGGTATAGGAACACATGGATTTGGGGATGCAAGCATGAGGTTTGTTTACACATGGTGTTGCAAAAATAGTATATATAGCTTAATTAATTAATTAATCAGTTTATCAATTAACTAATTTTAAAAAATCCAAACTATGCTGGCTTTATTCTGGTTCACAATTCCTCTATGGATATCTGCTTTTTAAAGTGCTGGAAAAACATGTTGGTTCACACAAAAACTTGTTGTTCTCAGTAAACAAGGTTTCATCATCAGTGTTGAAATGTTCTGTGTATCAAGATTTGCATCACTGGTCTTAAGTCACTTTTTAATTTTCTAGATTAAAAAAAACTTGTTATCACACCAGAGACTTTGACAATTCTACGTACTTGCAGCTAGATTTAACAATGTAAACTATCCATGCAATAGTAGCATATCTGTAATTTTTAATGTAACATAGTAAGAAGTAATTTAATTATAATTTCTCTGATTCTACAGTATTTTGTATGTTATTTTTTCAGGGTTGCACAAAAAAGCCATCTATGAAGCAACATAAAGCAGGGGAACTTCATTGCTCCCATGAGACTTTAGGTAATATTTAGAATATTCTGTTTAGTTTCCTTCACAATTAAGCCACATAATTTTATAAGTCAGTTGTGCTTTATGTCAATATGTTTTAGCCTGTCCTTGTAACAACTAGTCTGAGTCAAGTGAAGTATGAGTATTACAGACTTGAATTCTTATTGCACACTGAACACAGCACTTCAAAAATGAGAAAACCTAACTTATCACCAAACAAAATATAAAAAATAATGAAAAAATGTCTTATACTCTGTTTTTAATTTTAGGTCAAACAACTTTTATTGCTGATAAGGATCCTTCTGGAAAGCTCCCAGCATTTCTCTTCACTGAAAATGAGACCAACTATAGTAGACTTTATAATGTGGATAATTACACGCCTTACACAAAAGATGCATTCCATAGATATATTGTTAATGGTGAGAGCAAATACTAACATGTTTTTATTTCATATTTCATTTTTCGTTCTCTATTCTTATTTTTAGTAAAATATTAAAAAAATGTTTAAATGCCTCAAATATATAAAGCAGTGTATTTCCTTTCCTGTGAAGGGGGGGGTTTGTTTCGGGGGGGGGGGGAGGAGAATTGACTGGGGGAATTGTCCTAGACATGTTTGTAAATAAAACATTATATTTTGTAGGTGAGAAAGATGCCATTAATCATAAATCTCGTGGGACCAAAGTAGGAATGCACTACATGGCCACAGTTAAACCAGGAGAACAGCAAACATTTCAAGTCCGTTTCTTCCTACAGTCTGAAAAACCTAACACCAACAGCTATTTTAGTAGTGAGAGTTTTGATAAGGTTTTTGCACAGAGGATGAAAGAAGCAGATGAGTTTTATGAAAAGGTAATTTGTAATATTTAGGTTGCAGTGTTAGATCCCTGTTAATAAATAAGATATTTCCCTTACTTTTACTTAGTGATGGTGATATGTTCAGTGTTCAGTTTGCACCTGCAGAAGACAGTAATGATTTGTCCCTCTTAATGTAGATTTTGTTTGACTTTCTGGAATGATGGAGACCTTTTGTATGGTGAAAAATTATCTTTCAAATACCTAACTTTGGAATCATCAAAAATATATTTCTGTATATCATCTGTGGTGCTTTTACTGTAAAGAATAGAACTAAAGGTAGCCTGGTTTTCAATTTTGTTGTAACCACTTTTAAGAATTCTTAATAAGAATGTTCTGATTTTAAGAATTTATGACTTAAAAAAATACAGTCTCTTTAAAATTCACAATTTTTCAATTTTTTTCAATTTTTCAATTTTTCACAATTGAAAAGATGGAAACATTAAAGTGCCAGGAATTAATTCATTTGTTGAAAATGAATTCCTGGCACTTTTAGTAATGGTTTAACACTGAGAATTGGCTGTTTCGAACCCAAGTTGTTGAAATGATCCCTAAGAAGAAAATACATAAAAGTATATTTCTTATATGTAGGCCATTCCAAACAAGTGCCCTCAGCAAAGAGCTGTTGCCCGTCAGGCTTATGCTGGTTTATTATGGAGCAAACAATTCTACCATTACATCATCAAGGACTGGCTGAGTGGAGACCCAGAGATGCCTGCACCACCTAGAGAGCGTTTTGAAGGCAGAAACAAAGAGTGGGGTCACTTATTTAATAGGGATGTCATATCTATGCCTGATAAATGGGAATACCCATGGGTAAAGTTTACTTATGCACTTTTTAATTTTATTTTTGTCAGTGATTTCATATTGTTTAAAATTACACAAATAATTTCTTCAAAATCAGCAAATTTCAAAGCTAAACTGGTCAGCATATGCCCATTGCCTGCCTGTTTCATATATATATATATTTTTTTGGCTACCACTACCACTAAAAAAAACACTCAGGTACACTTAAGCTGAAAACATCAGGAGCAATTTGTAAAAACATTTTGATATATTTTAGTATGCCAGCTGGGACCTTGCCTTCCACATGCTTCCATTTGCTGCCATTGACATTGACTTTGCCAAGGACCAGCTGTTACTGTTTCTCAGAGAATGGTACATGCACCCAAATGGACAGGTGAATTTTAGTCTCTTGTTGTTCTCTCTGCAACTAACAATATTGTTTTGTGTATGCATTATCAGTTGTAATATTAATTCCTCTTCCATGTACTAGTGTACGAACAGGTGTACTGTTGTATATGCAAGCTTGACCAACTACTGCATGATATTATGAACACTATACAAATGTTCCACATTTTGGCACAACCCACTGAGATTCCACACCACCATGTTGATGTGTATAATGTTTTGGCACTAATGGACAAAACTATAAAATCACATGGAAACAGTGGTAAAATGGTCTGGTTGGTACATATAGGTGCTCCTATTATTCCTGGCCTGTGCATGTATGTAGTAGGTTGCTTTGGATTTAGAGAGTAATGTTCCAACTGCTTGGGTATGTCACTCCATATCAGTGAGTGCTAACAATGTTTTTTTGCTTCCTGTGCCCTGCAGATCCCTGCCTATGAGTTTGCCTTTGGTGATGTTAACCCTCCTGTCCATGCCTGGGCAGTCAGGAAGGTGTACAAGGCAACTGGACCCAGGGGCAGCAGAGACCATAGGTTTCTAGCTCGTTGTTTCCAGAAGCTTATTCTGAATTTCACTTGGTGAGTCCAACTGCT